CGACGGAGAGCATGTTTTGCTGAGCTCACCCATCCGGCCGCCGCCGACATTCCGACGCGCCGCCGGCAGCGCCGCACCCGAGCGCAGCGCGATCTCATGAGCTCGCTCCAGCCACATCCGCGTCCCGCCGGCCGGCGCGCTGCAGCCGTGCTGAAACTCGAGCTCGCGCTCACCCCGCCTGGCGCCACGTCCCGGACGCGTCCGAGCCGGCGCCGCCGAAGCCGAGCGCCCTGTCGTGTCCGCCGCGATCATGTTTCCAAAGAACAGCGGTGCCGCACCGGGCCCGTGAGCCACGTGTAGCGGTGGCGGCGAGAACGTGTAGCTGCGCAAATATTTGGTTGATATGCCTCGGTAAGTTATCTGATATGGCGACATTTGTGTAAATCAACAAGCACGCAGCCACTGCGGTTCACTGAAAGAGGTCAAAATGTGCAAGGAACAGGAAGCACACCAAGATTGGCTGATAGGTGAATCAAAGCACGTCTCGTATTTGGAAAGCTCTGGCGGCCTTTTCTAAAATAATGTTTCACTCTTACTTTGTTGCGCATTACGCTTCTTACTTTTTGCTCCGGGCACTGCTTTTCGGATATCGCTAGTTCGTGCCCTGTAAAAACAGCTGAGATTCCACGTAACGTTTTCCTACAAATTGCGTTACCATGTTGTCGTTGATTTCAGTGCGTAATGGTCCAGATGAACTCCTATCACTCTGGAATTGGTGACCTGCGGTATGATGATGACTAACACATGTGAAAGCATTTCGGTTCCTGGTTGGCGAGATTCAGTGCTGTCGTCTGAGTGTGTAATATTTCAGAGCATCGCTTTAAAGCCAAATATGATTATGTATGGGGAAGGAAATAAGTGTGCGTTTTAATATCACACATGGCTGGAAGCTAATGTGGCGTGCCCTCCATGGCTACAAGACCCGTCACTTTGAAGCCCGTAACGACGCACACGCTGGCGCCTAAAAGCCCGCAGAGCTTTCAGAGGGTACTTCTGGCTTCCTGGCCACATTACGGGCATTGGGGGCATTTTGCATCTAAAATTATCCGACTGGTGTTTCCATACCGCTAGGTTTGATCTAATAACCAAAGCTCAACAACTGTACGAACTCTAGTCAGATACGATCACTTAACTATACTTTCTGGAAGGATGCAATTTCAACACCAAGCGAAAACTTTTCTGGAATATTCTTTCATTGCTGGTAGATTCTGTCATGAGTATAGTTTCCACCTGAGCTGATGGGCTCCATCTTCAGCCCCAACGAACAAGAAAACAAGTTAAACCACTTCTCCCCGGTTAGCCGTTCCGAACCATATTTTGCTAAAAATCTCTCCTGGATGTTCATATCATTTTTCAAACAAATCACACACAACTGAGAGCACAGGTCACATGCCAAACACACATTGGTTCGCAGGCACATGTGTGAAATGCAACTACACAGGATATGGCCAAACCAAAAACATCAGGCAACGCCTGGATTGGATTGGAGGCGTGGCCATGCCTTGCAATTTCAAAACTTGTCTGTGAAATCCAAACAACATACTTATTCAGGCTTCTGCAGTTTGGACCTCATCTGCCAATATCATAAGTTTTTACAGCAATGCCTTCGGCTGTAGGCATGTATTAATTTGGAATTTATCCAGGAGGAAAACCAAAAGAAAACGCTGATTACCAAACCATTCCAACGGTCCCAGCAAAGTTCTAGTACAAAAATCAAAAAACAAAATCGGTGCGCTGAGGTCGGCAAAGATCGACCATCATTAACTGTTCCAAAACCTCGGATGCGCATCAAGAATGGTCTTCACGTGGCGTATGGACAAGGTCGTGTTTGCTAACCACGTTTAAATGGGTCATCAACCGTCCATGAGCTCATTTATGGGCACTTGTCTTCCACCAATTGGTGTGTTTACCTTCCACGTCAAATGTTTTCTTATCATGTGGCATAAAGATGCCCAAGCTGGTCAGCATTCTGCGTACACCCATATTTGCGGCATAAATCTAGCAGTAAAAGAACGCTTTTGTAGTTGAACTCTGTGCCTCGTTACTGGGCGTATGTAAACGTAGTCAGCCATCACCTAGGTACCTACTGCTATCTATGCAGTTGAAAAAGTTGCTTTTGTTGTTGTTGGCCATGGACAATATTGTTCTTGATATGCTCTCCATGGCATCTATTGATGTGTGAGGCCATCCATTCTGCAGTGAATAGGCCAATACTTCCTTGAGATATTAATCACATTGTTGACTTAAAGTGGATAGAACCTTTGGGTTTTGGCGAGTCAATCTTTGCTGCAGAAAACACGCACACTGACTGAAAAGCTATCATAGAAACCCAGTTAAATGTAAATCCAGTCTTAGCTTTTGCATTCTGCCGCCGGTTGTAGTTGTTTCAATTGTTTTCTTTCAAGCTTTGGATTATAACCTCCTTTTGAAGAGTCCATTAAAGTACCTTCTAAGACATTTTTCTACTTGGGGCAGAGGATTATATGTCTGGGACGAATGGGATTGCACGTATTAATTTGTCTTAAGTCTCTTCAAAATGAGCCATAGCTCCAGGTCTTGAAATTTAAAAAAGGGTACAACTTCACTCAGTGTTGGTAAAAAGGTGAAGGAATAAATGCCCAGATATTTATGGACTCTTGTGACCATCATATTGTTATGACGTCAAGTATGTGTGCCTTGGCTTGGCTAACAGTCTCTCGACGTCAACCATTGCATAAATACAACTAAAGGAATGCGTTTGCTTGCAGGCTTCCAACAGCTTCCTGTTTTGGCAGAAATAAAATTATAACATTGAGCATGTGCACCTGGAATGAAAAATATGGCTGGCCGGCCCCTGTGGGATTTTGGGGGAAACAGCCGGGGTAGGTGCGGGTTTTCAACTTTGGGTACGCGGCGGATGCGGATATTCCAACTACCAAAAAGTGACACCTCATATAGACTTATAGACTATAGACTTTAAAGATACGACCGTTGTAAGCTGCCCACTTTTGCCATTCGACAGTTACGCGAAACGATATGTCAACCTTTGGTGCAATTGAAGGAAAATTTTACAACGGCCAGTGGTTATAACCAAGTAAAGCAGCGCTAGCGGCATGCACCATTGCATGTATGAACAGCAGCCAAACATGTGGTGCAGTTATGAGTATCCTAGAACTGTGTCTGAAAAGCTGCAGGTGTGTTTGAACAAAGCAGCCCGGTTATTTTTTATTATGAAAAAAATTCTGCGGTGCTTCCACAATATGCATGTTGCAGCGCAGTGATGGTTACGAAACCATGCATGGAAAGCTGGTTTAAGGATTCCTAGAATGTCTCTGGGTTTTATGCTATCGTATCACGTCTATCGCTGGCAGTAATTTGGAAACACAGTCGCTGAACAGAATGTCATGGAATCGAGCGTGATCGAGCTCGTGAAATGATCTCACAGTTGGATCAAAAAGTCCACACAATATTATGCAAAATGTATTCTCTCTCTCTCTCTCTCTCTCTCTCTCTCTCTCTCCTCTCTCTCTCCTCTCTCATCTCTCTCTCTCTCTCTCTATCTCTCTCCTCTCCTCTCTCTACTCTCTCTCTCTCTCTCTCTCTCTCTCTCTTCCCTCTCCTCCTCTCTCTCTCTCTATCCTTTCTCTTCTTCTCTCTCCCCCCCCTCTCCTCCTCTCCTCCACTCCTCCCTCCCTCCCTCCTCTCTCTCCTCTCTTCTCCCTCTCTCCCTCCTCTGTCTCCCTATCTTTTCTCCCCCTCTCTCTTTCTCTCTCCGCTCTATCTATCTATCTATCTATATATCTATCTACTATCTATCTATCTATCTATCTATCTTCTTCTTCTCTCTTTCTTTCTTTCTCTCTCTCTCTCTCTCTCTCTCTCTCTCTCTCTCTCTCTCTCTCTCTCTCTCTCTCTCTCTCTCTCTCTCTCTCTCTTTCCGCATAGACAAAACGACTAAACAATCCATCTCGAAAGAAACACATGTAAAATGAACAGAATCACCTAAGTTTGCAAACAGACCACAATCAAATATGTTTGACATATTTCGGTCCTGGTGTTGACATATTTCGGTTCTCGCGCCCCCATTCTCGAAATAAGCCAGGTACCAATACCAGCACCGTTCTGCACCACCACATCAATTGCACAAATATAGACCATCACTGATCACCCTGCAACACACAGACCATCCTTTTGAAGCCTGCACTGCGCCGCTGGCCATGACCCTGACCACCCAGCCTGTGTCGGCCCAAATGGCCACTTATCACCCCGTATGGAAACAGATCACCAACACCCACTGTGCACCAGGCTGAGATCATTTCCATTCATCCTGAGCCCGCGGCGAATCAACACCAGTCATCCGTCATCCGTCATCCGTCATCCGTCATCCGAGGAACTCTGCCACCACCCAATCTCAGCGCGAGAAAGGTCACCATTGCTCGTCCTTCACCCAACAAAGGCCCCCACCATGTATGCTGCGCCCGACAAAAACCCTCGCCACTTACCTTGCACCCGACAAAGACTCTTACCAGTCATCTTGCATCCGAAAAAGACCCGCAGCACTTACCTTGCACCCGACAGAAGCCCTTACCATTCAGCCCGCACCCGACAAGGACCCTCGCCACTTATCCTGTAGCCGAAAAAGACCATCACCATTCATTCTCCTCCAAACAAAGGCCATCACTTTTTACCCTACACCCAAAAAACTCCTTAATTCTTATCCTACATGCGACAGAGATCATCATCACTTATCCTCCACCCGACAAAAGCTGCTAGTTCCCATCCTGCACCCGACAAAGACCATCGCCACCTACCCTGCACCCAATAAAGAGCCTTACCATTCATCCAGCACCAGACAAAGACCCCCGACACAACCTGAATCCGACAAAGGTCCTTACCATTCTTCCTGCACCCGACAGAAACCCTTACCGCTTACCTTCCACGCGACAAAAACCCTTACCATTCATCCAGCACCCGACAGACCCTTGCAACTTACCCTGCACCCGCTAAGGACCGCTACTCACCTTGCACAGGTCCGCTGTAGTAGAGCTCGTGCATAATGTCCTGCTCCTTGCTGGCGATGCGATAGGGTGGCTGCATGCCGATCATCTCGTCGCGGCTAAGCTGAATGGTGGTGCCGTTGGCGCAGGTCAGCTGATACGGCCGCGACGAGCGGCGCGGTGTCTGACACTCGCCGCTGGAGCTCGTCTCGCCCGACCGGTACTGGTAGCACTCCTCCTCGACCACACTGCCGGTGAACGGGCACCGGTGAGCGGCTGCATGGGTACCACTCCCCCCCCGGCAACACTGCCGGCGCACGGGCACTAGTGAGGGACTGCACGGGGGGAACCCCTCCTCGACCGCACTGCAGGTGAACGGGCACCGGTGAGCGGCTGCACGGGGGAACCCCTCCTCGACCGCACTGCCGGCGCACGGGCACTAGTGAGGGGCTGCACGGGTGGCACTCCTCCTCGACCACACTGTCGGCGAACGGGCACTAGTGAGGGACTGCACGGGTGGCACTCCTCCTCGACCACACTGCCGGCGCACGGGCACCCATGAGCGAGTGCGCGAGTAGCACTCCTCGGCCACACTGCCAGCGAACAGGCACCGGGTTAGCGCAGAGTCTTCGCCGCACCACCTGGTTCCAGCTATCAGTTACATGATGATTCGCGTGACAATTATCATCGGCAGTCATCAATTTTTTTCACTAAATCGCTAACTACCTTTCAAAACTACACTAAGTCTTCACTGAATTCCAACCCGAATCCCGCCTCGCCCCAACTGAGCTAGCACCCAACCCGTAAAAGCACGGAACTCAACCACGCCCACCCAGCCTCAACCCAATATCAGGAAACCCCACTTGCGTACAATATCATGAACCGAGCGCTGCCTTGCTTCGACTCAAGATCCATGTAATCAGAACCCCGCACCACCTAACAGCCCATCAGCACTGCAGACCGCAGACAGTCCTGCAGACTCCACACGTATATGTTATCGTCCAGCTGGTCCCAAGGCGCAAGACGTCTTGTACGGCGTGGCACCAGCTGGACGATAATATATATGTGAGGGCTGTCGGCTGTCATCACGTGCAATATGCCAAAAACTGAGCTTACAGAACCAGACAGCTTCAGCATCCGGTACTGTTAAGCTTGGTCGATGTGTTGCAAAGCATATCTTTCGTGAGTAGTTAATATGCGGAGATCCACTTATTTGTTTTCGAAGACTAATAATTCGCAGATAAAATCATGTCAATGACAACGAGCAATCTGCTATGCAAGCAGAAACACACGAATAAAATTAAATACTCGCATCTCTCATGTGTTAATTAATTTGCTATCACAAGACGTTTTGTCTGCCCAAGAAAACACGCAGTGTCATGATGGAGTGATGTTACCTCCAGAGAGTGAAGAAGTGCCAGCCCGCACAGTGCTTCAGATAGCGTTTTATCGTTTTCCCAAGCTACTGGAAATGGGCGTTTGAAAGCTGAGGTCGCGGCATTCGCGTTTTTGGAAAATGCACCGTTGACAAATGGTAAGCTAATCATTATCATTTGAGGTTATTATTTTTTGTTTTGACTCATCATTCCGTAACGCATGCTTTTTCGAATTGCACGTGTTTGACCATTAAATATGGGTATTCATTCGATAAGAAAATAATCAATTTCTCACTCTCCCCTGAAAGCAGCCGTATGTGAAGTTAACCGCCGAGCTCTTCGCATACGGGGGAAGCGGGGGGGGGGGGGGGGGGGGCAGTGCAGCCATGGGTTTGATGAATGGCTTGGCACTGTATGAGCCATCACGGCTGAAGGTCAGTGGAGTGTCAGTGAAAAAAAACGGACTTCGTCTGATTTATCTTAGTTCTTGGTGAAGCAGTGCGCCCGCAGCTGCCTCACACCATGGGCAGGCAGAGCTGCCTGAACCTGCGTCCAGAGGTTGCAAATACATTCGGTTCTGGGCAGCGTAACGGATGCGATGGGGCGGACAAGTGAGAAAATAATAGTTCACGTAAGACTCGCTCGCCACGCCCTCACAGACGTAGTTCTCTTTAGCAAATTGTTCAGAAGCCGTTGTCGAAGCACCGTTGGAAATAATCCTATAAAGGAATTTCGAAGCGTACAACTACCACAATGTATCTCATTGGGCACAAACATTTTTCCATGCAGATGGGATTCGCCGGCAGCATTATTCTGCAAGTCACGTTCGATAATGTCAGATTAGGTTTATGGATGCGAGCACCTTTACCCTCATGCCGCCTCAATATTTAAGACCAATGCACATTTTGCCATGTAAATTGATGCACACATGGATTTATCATTGCCGGTTAGAAAAGCATAAGTGGCATCCGAAATA